TGTTTGTTAAAACTGTCTGTTTAACTTGTCACCCGAGTTTCTCTTTCTTCCAGCATTTTACTTTCACTTTTTCTTTTAGTTTTTGTAACTTCACCTTTTTATTGGATGTGGATCAGAGGAGTCAGGTGTTTGAGTGTGTTCATGGTGACTCAAAAGCTGCAGGAAGCTAATCTCTGGCCTTGGGGAATTCTTCAACACTCCAGGCTTTGTTGACTTGAATTTGTCATAACACATCGCCATTCATTGATCACGGTTTGTCAGCCTTTAATGTAACTATGGCAGTGATTAGAATTCAAATAGCTTTTGATGTATTGAGTGTGTTTTGTGGCGTAGTGAGAAAAATGTGGTATACACACACATTCCCTACATGGATCTATACACATGCTTATTTAATATAGAAGATGTACTTCTGCAGTCTTGTAACTGCCTCTACTAACAAATATCTCTTTTTCTCATTAGAGCAATAATACATACGATGGAAACGAAGACCATATTCAGCTCAAATAAATGAAGCAAAGCATGCAGTTATTGGACCTTTTCTAATTTACTAGTAGTAGTAAAAATATCACCCTGCAAGTAGCAGCGCATTGATGCAGTCACAGTAGGGCCCCTGCTCCTGGAGCCCTGCTTACCACATTCAGTAGGCTAGCAGTCTTCCACGGAATTACCTGCTTTTGAACCCAGGGCTTAGTATCATTCAGCCTTCCTGCTTGAGCCATGCCCACAAGCTTAGCTGGGTCACCAGTGTTATCAATTTAGGGAAACTGGCACGAATCAACCATCATCTATATGTGGGAATGCTGCTCAAATAGATATACACTAGATTACCACAAGTATTGGGACACCCCTCCAAATCATTGGATTCAGGTGTTCCATGAAATTTCCTGGCTACTAAATATTCCGCTGTCACCCGTTAGTGGTATTATAACAAAGTGGAAGCAACTGGGAACAACATCAACTCAGCCACGAAGTGGTAGGCCACGTAAAGTGACAGAGCTGGGTCAGCACATGCTGAAGCACACAGTGCGCAGAAGTCGCCAACTGCCTGCAGAGTCAATAGCTATAGACCTCCAAACTTCGTGTGGCCTTCAGATTGGGGCGTAGAGAGCTTCATGGAATGGGTTTCCATGGCCGAGCAGCTGCATCCAAGCCTTACATCACCAAGTGCAATGTAAAGCGTCGGATGCAGTGGTGTAAAGCACGCCGCCACTGCACTCTAGAGAAGTGGAGACGTGTTCTCTGGAGTGACGAATCACGCTTCTCTGCCTGGCAATCCGATGCACGTTTCTGAGTTTGGCTAGCAGCCAGATTGTTAAGTCAGTTCCCGGCCAGGGGTGAGCACCACAACCTCAATGGTTCTATACACAAACAGGTTGCTACTTTGGCCCAAGGCCTGGGCAGAAGTTAACTTCCCTCTTTCTCTGCTTCCTGCTACCAGCAACCAAAAAAATCTGGGAAAATGTATTTCCTACTATATACACCTTCTTACTAAAAGGAGGAAAACTAAAGATACTATAGCCCCTGCACCTTCAGCACATCGTAACAGGGCCTTGCAAGCTCAGTAATGCTGAGCATGATGATTCACCTTTACTGAGCTCTATGCCCCAGGAGTTTTGCTGTTGGGTGGGTGGAGCCTAATGGGGATTCTAGGAGACTAGTTCCCCATCAGGTCAACCTACCTCGTGACTGACACAGGACAGCAGTGGGTGCATTTGATAGCTGCTAGCGGCTATCGAATCTACCTACCGCCGTTCGCTGTTTATCACAAGTAAAGTAGACCTAATGTGGAACTTGTTTCTCAGCATCTTCATCAGGCTCCACCAGACCCACCAGCAACCAGTGACGCTATGCAGATAAACATAAACATACCCCATGTCCTGCTCTTTGTTGCAGCCATAGTAATAACTATCTGAATCTGCTGCAAGTATAGGAAATGTTAGCAGAACTGTCACAAGTCTTTGGTGAATAAGGCATAGGACTTTCTAATACAACATTACCAGAAAAGTGGTGACAATGCTCTATTTGAATCGCCTCACTATCTCTTGTATATGTTTCTTCCGGATGCTATCTCTGGAAGCCAATTTTTATAAGTCTGTGAAAAAGTATTTGTTTGTCAAAATAACAGCAAATGTGTGCTAAAGTTGACCGTCACACGTGCAGCTACAAACTATTATTATACAGGATTTATATAGCGCCAATAGTTTGCACAGCGCTTTACAATATAAGGAAGACATTACAGTCACAATAACAAACATCTTGTTCTTTTGAAATCAATACAGTAGCCTACTAGCATTCAGGTCAGTTTATCAAATTTAATAAGGATATCTTCCTTATTATTCATGGCGGGTGGTGGATGGACCTTTCAGTTCTTCTGGTAAGAGAGATATAAAGAGAAAGTGATGTGAAAACTAAAATACCAGTTTTGGGCGGACTGAGCCTTTTTAAATGTTTTTCCTGCTAAATTGTTATACCTTGGCATCATTTCAAGTAATGTGAACCCAGTTTCCCTGCTCAAATCTCTTAATTCCTGTGGAGAAATGGACATGACCGCATTGCTTGAAATGATTCTGTTATCATGCATAGCGGGATAACTTATAGCCAGTGAGCTCTGTGTGTAATGAGGCCCGCATCACTCTGAACAATCAATCAAATTGAATGGATCTACCTTTAGATAGTGTAACATTGCCCCCCTGTTGAGTTCATTTGTATTCGGGTTTATTTTCACTTGTGTAGCTTAGATGCTTACTGCAGCTAACACTTCCAAAGCTAACACTTCCAAGATGTTAGCACCTTCCCAGTTTCTAATGGCACACACGCATTTTATGCATGCAGTGATCATAAAAGCTTAGGTACTGTGGTCACATTATGTCACTTCTGGCCAAATGTGTGTGACAGGCCCCAACCTATGCCAGCATAGCCTGTTGTTTCATATTTGTCACAGTGCTACTGACTTGTGCCTGGGAACCTTGGATGGCAGCCGACAAGCTTGAAAGTAAATGTGATTTTCCATGGGCTCCTGCCATGCGTCCGATAATACTGCAAAGCATGTAGGGATTCATTAGGGATCCAATATCAAATCAATGCAATTAAAACGGTCAGTGGTAAACCCCATCCAGGATTAACCGTAAATGCCAAACATCAATCACTTGGCAGAACAAATACTTATGTGGACAGGTGTTCTTGTTTGTACAGAAAATTCCTTGAATTATAAAAAAAGCCATGCACCTGACAGAGAGGTAATCAGGCCATTGCAGAACGTCTGCTCTGGGATTCAGGCTGCCAACAGTATGATTGAGTGTTGTATTTTAACTTGTCACTGCACTGTGTGCTCGCTTTACCCCATGACTGAACTACAGCTGTCACAGCCATTCAGAATACAGAAGGACCCACCTCTACCTACAAAGGGAACTCCAGAGAAAAACCCTTAACCCTTGCAGTAGGGCTACCCATGCACGGTAAGGGTTATGAAACCCTCAGTGTGTTTTTGCATATATCTACTGATAGCAAGCAGTAGATATATGCAAAAACTTTTTTTTTTAAAAAACAAAACACCTTTTCAAACAGGTTTAAATGTACCGGTCTTCGCCACGCGCTCCCGTCCGAACATCTGTAGAGTCTCGGGCGGCCGCAAAGGATCTTTGCGAGGGTGCACTTCAGATGTTCAGCCGGGAGATGAGGAGAGACACAAGGTTAGTCTATGGAGCAGCGTGCACCCGCACAGACTCTGTGGCACATCAGAGGAAAGGAGGACAGAGGAGTCAGAGCTGGATCGGAGACCCACACCAGCGCTGGAGGGACATCTGAAAATTACACTAAAGAAGAAGATGATATTTTTGTGTAGGTTAAAAAAATAATAACGTTATACTCACGCTGGCTGGCATGTTCTTAGACCATTCCCTTCTGCCTGTCTTCCCCTCCACTGCAGAAGTCTAAGGTCCATGAGTTATCATGTCCTATACGCTGTGTATAGGATGTGAAGACACCGAGGGACATACCATCTAACTTTCATTGCTAATACATAGTCCGATACCCTGGGAAATCTGTACCCCCTTACCTATAGCAATCAGCACGGTTTACAGAGAAAGACCAATTTTGCATTATGCAAACTGATTTTTTATTTTATTTCTTAAAATCTTTTTACCTGCGTCAAGCTGGGTTGATGGAAGTGGACACACAGGAGCCATGATTCAAATCCTTGCAGCTACAGGCATGACAGCATTTCTTTACAGAAAGAGTTGACAGTAGTTTACAAAAACAAGCTTTTTTTTCACAATATACAAGTTGATCTGTTTTGTTTGTTAACATCCATTTACCTGTGTCATGCTGGATTGCTGGAGTGAACACACATGGGAGCTGTGATTCAAATTCTTGCATAAATGCATGGCAGCTACAGGCAAGATGACAGCATTTCTGTACAGAAATACTTGTTTGGTCAGCAATTAAGCTAATTTCACAGAGATGCTACGCTGGGGGGGGGATTGTCAGGCACCCACCGATCGCTGTGTCTGAAAATGCGTACTAAGCCAACTTCTGCAACTCCCCTGCACAATCCTACCCAGCTTACATATCTCATTGCATACACTGGAACTCACAGCTCTCAGTCACTTTCAATAAGAAATGTGATCTCTTATTTCTGCTAATACAATATGGCAATATTTCCGAACAGACCCCACATGCCGCTATCATGAGAGTCCCTAAATAGTATTCACAGAGCTGCATCTGCAGCTCCTCAGCATCCCTTGCCGTGTCTGGGGAGATGATGAAAACTTATAAAAATCATCAGCATCCTCACGTCAGTGGGGATTGTGCTACTGCTCCCCCACCCTAGGTTGTGCAGGAGAAGGGGGGTCCTAGAACAAGGGAGCCTGTTAGAACGAGCCAGGAGAAAACAAAGAAAAGTGGGAGAAGTGATTTCAGTGACATCATGCTGCACTAATGTCCCGCCCACGCTGCTAACACAAGAGGGAACAGTGCAGGCTCGCATAGTGTGGGATCCAGGTCTCCTAGCAACTCGGAACCAGGATCCTTTTCCTAGCAGGACGAGAAAACCCCAAAAATCCCCTAGGCTGTGCGGGATCACTTGTCTGACAGTCTGGACCCGGCTCAAGGTACACAGCTCTCCTCTCACATCCTGCAGACAGGCAGCGAGTGACAAAGAACAGCTCACTAAAGTTTCCAGCAGCAGCAGCTGTGTGGTGCTGGAGAACTTCACTGGAAGGGCTGCTGAACAGATCTACCTGGGCTGCGAGATGTGGCGACGCGCTGATGACTCGTGCTTGCGCTCTGCCGCTCTCTTGACATGCGCGGAAGAATGAGCAGTCGTCTGCTTTGTAAGCCCACCTGTGCGAACTCGAAGAGCTTGTGACAGGCGCAGATCGGCTGCGGATCTGATTGAAGTGTGCAACGCCAATGCAGAGCTGCTGAATAATAGGCTCTTTGTGCGAGGAGAAAAATGGAAACAGGCTCCGTCTCCATGCCCAGGCAATAGCAGCGCTGTAGCTCCGATGCCCCGGCTGCTCAGAGACAAATGCTGGCCATAGAGGAGAAGACTGGGGAGCCTCCTGATCAACTGGACGAGACGATATGCCAGTCAGCTTATCCCCAGCAACCTGTCACTTTGGAGGTGCCGCCTGGGGTCCCCAACACTGTCACATTACGCACCCTGCCTTCCCCTATCAAAGCTTGCCTGCTGTGCACTATGCTGAGGCCGGTGGCAGCTCCTCACCCTGCGATTAGCCCTCGCTGTCTTGTCAGTCGGGCTCCCAGCAGCCTGCTGGCTTTCTGGCTGCTCTCTCTTCTCTTGGGACTGTGCCAGTCAGGTGAGTTCATCTAATGCTAAGATGGAGTAACAGGTGCCAAGAAGTCCTTCTAGAGCTCGCTGGGCTACTCAGGTCAGGCTGTATGATATCCTAGTGGGCGAGAGTTAGATGTTAGTAGCATATATCACAAAAGCGTTATCATAACACAATATTAGAGATGAGACAACATGATCACAATGTGGGTGATGCACACGCTAATAAAGCATTGCCAGATAACAAGTGCTAAAAGATGTCACTTGCCAAGCTTGAATTTGTTTTTGTTTTTGTTTTTTTAATTGCAATGATGCTTGAAACACAGTTCACGACTGAGGGCTTGTTCACACGATGTCCGGACCAGATCTGGAGCAGATCTGCAGGCGCGGTGCTATGAGTTTTTGACGCGTTCCAGTTTTTTTGTGGAGTGGGGCTGTCAGTATGTTGGCTGCAGTGCGGAGTGTTTTCAGCGCGTTTTCCTTGCGTTTTTGACGCGTTTGTGCGTTTTCGGACCGGACAAAATGTGACATGCAGTATTTTCTCTGTCCGGACCGGAACAGACTGCGCACGTGAGAACTGTAACCCATAAAACACGTAGGGATACATTGGGATGCATTTTTAGTGCAGGAGCGGTCCAGACAGAATCCGGACGTCGTGTGAACAAGCCCTTAGGGCGCTACACATGTATTGGGGATGAGTACAGGAAATACTAAGGATGCAACAGATTCTTAAAGAAAAGGGCATTAAAAAAGCAATGCAGTAATACATTTTGATGAGCCTTTAAGGGATTCAACAGGTCTGTCATCAAATGGGCGGTAGAAAATGCAGCACAGAAATTAATTCTGCTGATCCTTTCAACGTGTTGCAGAGAATTCCCAGCACGCTGGTAAATTTCTCAGGTTCATTAGCATATATCATAAAGAAATTACCATAATATACCATCAGAGGTGGCATTATTATACCATCAGAGGTGGCATTATTATATCATATCATCAGAGGTGGCATTATTATACCATCAGAGGTGGCATTATTATATCATATCATCAGATGTGGCATTATTATATCATCAGATGTGGCATTATTATATCATCAGAGGTGGCATTATTATATCATCAGAGGTGGCATTATTATATCATCAGAGGTGGCATTATTATATCATATCATCAGAGGTGGCATTATTATAGCATCAGAGGGGGCATTATTATATCTTTAGAGGTGGCATTATTATATCAGAGGTGGCATTATTATATCATCAGAGGTGGCATTATCATATCAGAGGTGGCATTATTATATCAATGGTGGCAATATTATATCATCAGAGGTGGCATTATTATATCATTAGAGGTGGCATTATTATATCATTAGAGGTGGCATTATTATATAATTAGAGATGGCATTATTACATCATTAAAGGTGGCATTATTACATCATCAGAGGTGGATATCAATGGTGGCAATATTATATCATCAGAGGTGGCATTATTATATCATTAGAGGTGGCATTATTATATAATTAGAGATGGCATTATTACATCATTAAAGGTGGCATTATTACATCATCAGAGGTGGCATTATTATATCATTAGAGGTGGCATTATTAAATCATTAGAGGTGGCATTATTAAATCATCAGAGGTGGCATTATTACATCATCAGAGGTGGCATTATTACATCATCAGAGGTGGCATTATTACATCATCAGAGGTGGCATTATTACATCATCAGAGGTGGCATTATTAGATCAATAGAGGCAGGAATTATTATAATATATCATTTGAGATGAGACAACACAATTTCACTGTGGATACTACAGAATATAATAAAGAAATGGCAGATAATCAATGCCAAAGTTGTATGAGCTGAGTTGCAAAGTTTGAATTTCTTGGTTGGATGTTTGTTGTTTTTGGAAATATGCACAAACCATGGTTCACGACCTAGGGTGGCTTTGCAAGTGTAGGGGATAAGTACAAGGTACAGTATAAGTGCAAGGTATAAGTACAAGCGATTCAACAGATTCCTTCATCAAATGGGTAATATAATGCAGTAATGAACCCTGCTGATCCTTCAAACATGCGTTATCACCTGCAGAGAATTCCCAGCACGCTGCAGCATTTCCAAGCCAGAGTGTAAATGTTCCTCTTTTCTTTCCAGAAAATTGAGGATTCTTATCACGTGCTCATCGTTGATATTGAAATAAATGATAGCACTGCAGTAGTTCTGGGTGGTGAGTAGATTACACAGGAATTCCTCTCAGAAGAGTTCCCAACACTCTGCAATATATTTGTCATGGTGTCCAGTAAGCCTCCTATCATTTCACAGTCTAATAATGTTAGTCACCGATCTTGTGTAGTCACAGCCCTATCTGGCTTGGAAAAGCTAAACATAAAAGTGCTGCAGAGTGCAGATGATGAAATACTCTCTATGATGCTGGAAATCACATTTAGATTTCATCACAAAGCCAGTGCGGGGACGTTGTGATAAGCGCTGTCACCAAATGCAATCAGATTGCTGGAGTTGCATTAGAAATAGGTGGATTCTTATGGGCTGTAAAGGGTTATTGCGCTTTGAATATTTCTGTTTGCCTGGCTGGATAAGCCTGAAAAGGGAAGAAGGGTTTGGATGGGAATGTCATGAGTCTGAAGAGGACCTGTACTTCACAGCTGCCCAAACTTACTGTCTCTGTATGGACAAAGCATGGTTTTAAACTGAACGTGAGCATGTTCAGAAAGAGCACAAGTACTTAGTGTAAATCTTTCACTTTGGCCATCGTAAAAAGATCAACATCTGTTTGTTGTAACATAGGATAGCCATTCTAGAAAATCATTGTATGCCTTTTTTTCATAGTTTGTGAGTCCCATGAGCGCAGTGCAAAAATAGGTCATTCTCAGTGAGACAATAAATAATGTGCACAATTCCAAAGTGTTGGAGTAAAATGTCAAGTTCATTTCATTCAGGCGTGCACAAAATATATCCCAGATTTGCCAATAATAATTTCTTTGTGGTGAGAATTGCAAGCCTTTCACAGAAGGGTTCTGTGAAATAGAACTAGCAAAAGTGTGCCTGCTCATTGAATGGATTAAATATGGAAGGGTGCATCATTGCAGTGGTGGAGAACACATAAGCACGCATAGGTACAGTCAGTGGGGAAGTTAGACCTTCTGTCACCTGGGGCAAAGGCTCAAAGTTGCCCCCCCCCTCCCCAAAGGGAGATGTTCTCCATCCACACACCCAATGGCACCCCTCCTAAAGCAGAACCCAAGGCACATGCTCCCCCTGCTTCGGCCCTGGGTACAGTGGTGGTAAGTGATAAAGCGTGTGGGGCTGCAATGGCAGTGAACATATAGACGGGCATTGGTGCAGTGTCAAGCAAAGCAAGGTCTGTTGTAGGGATGGTGAGAGCAGGGGTGGAGGATGGAGGTAAGTGGTCATAGTGGGGGTTGGTGGTCAAACAAAGTGCTGAGAGTGGGGGTTGGTGGGCAGGTGTAGTGCAGGGATAAAAGGATGAGGATCAGACAAAGCGCTGAAAGTGGGGGCTGGTGGGCAGGTGTGGTGCAGAGGTAGAAGGATGCAGGTCAGGTGAAGTTCTGAGAGTAGGGGCTGGTGGGCAGGTGTGGTGCAGGGATAGAAGGATGCGGGTCAAGCAAAGTGCTGAGAGTGGGAGTTAGTGGGCAGGTGTGGTGCAGGGGTAGAAGGATGCAGGTCAAGTGAAGTGCCGAGAGTGGGAGTTGGTGGGCAGGTGTGGTGCAGGGGTAGAAGGATGCGGGTCAGGTGAAGTGCTGAGCGTGGTAGTTGGTGGGCAGGTGTGGTGCAGGGGTAGAAGGATGCGGGTCAGGTGAAGTGCAGAGAGTGGGAGTTGGTGGGCAGGTGTTGTGCAGAGGTAGAAGGATGCAGGTCAGGTGAAGTGCTGAAATTAGGGGCTGGTGGGCAGAAGTAGAAGGATGGGGGTCAGTCAAAGTGCTGAGAGAGGGAGTTAGTGGGCAGTTGTGGTGCGGGGGGAAGGAGAATGGGGGTTAGTTACAGTTAAAAGAGGGGGGTGTGGTGTGCGGGCGTGGTGCAAAGGGAGGAGGGCCAGTTGGGGTTGGTGACAATGCGGGGAGTTAGTTTAAAGGCACAGTGGTGGCAAGGTTTCAGGCATGGTAAAAAGTGGGGTGCAAAGTGATGCCAAGAAGGGGATGCTGGCACGGTGGTGAAAGGTGGCTCTGTGAGCAGCTTTCAGCTGCAACTCCAGTTTGAGGCTAGGTTCACACCTAGACAATGGCACTGGTGAGCTGTTTTCGCACGGTTTTTTTTGGCGCAATCTTGGTTTGAAAACCACGCAGTTGTCAATGCATAGAGATGTTTATGGGACCCAGGCCGCGCATCAACCAACCGAAAATGGCTCCTACACCTTTGCCGTGCGACGCAAAGGTGTGAACAGGCTAACTGACTTACATGCAGATTTCTATTTTGTGCAATATCATGCGGATAAGTCACCTAGGTGTGCACCAGTCCTTCCTGCTATGAGCAAGGTTAATGTTAATGCGCTATTGTTTATGACACCCCAAACGTGGCCCGTAAAACGTGCGTCAAACACGCACAAACACCTGGTCCAAGCATACAGGAAGCTTGCAGCTAAAAATTCTGCATGAACTTATTTTCCAAATTTGTCACACGTGCAGCAGCCCATTGAAATGAATGGGCTTTTCTCGCTGCAATGGTGGCAGACTCAAACAAATGCGCATGAAAGCACGCAAAATGCACTTTCACGCAATGTGTGAACATGGCCTAAACCTACCTGCTTTCCAGCACCAAATATTAATATACAGCTGCTAAAAGCTTATCTAGGATTGGTTCCTTTATGTAAACAACAATGTAGCACCCCCCTGACCCCCCCAAAGGCATGCAAAGGACCACAGAGGCAGGGGTATGTCCCTTGTCAGTTGTGGGATGTGAATGTAAAGTTGGGCGCCAGTCACTTTGAGATACTAAAGATTTTATTTCTCCAACAGCTCATGTGGGAGAGAGGGATAAGGTATACAAACACCTAGGA